GTCATAACAACATTCCGTATTCAAGGACTTTTGCCTGCATCTGATGGAGACTGCTTGAAGATTGTATCCGGTGGAGTGTGAAGAGTTGATTGGACAATGTGATGAACTTGTGGGTGTGGGGCAGGTAGACATGAAATGCTCCCGGTTCGGACCGGCTCGGGCGAGTAGGTAGCGATGGCAGTGGGCAGTTCGGAGAACAGGTAGCAAAAATCCCTGCCCCCGCCCCCCATACCCAGCTGAGCTGCGCGATCATCAGAGCCTTTTTTTTTCTTTTAAATGGCTCTGACGATCCAAGCTCTGACGATCCCAGCTTGGATCGTCAGAGCCTTTTGAAAGCATTTTTTTTACATGGTTTTACATGTAAAAAATGGTTTTAAAAGTAAAAAAAAAAATTGGCCATGCCCACCCAGTCACATTACCCCCCACCACCACCAAGCCACGCCCACAGAACCGGTAGTAACAAATTTTTAGATTTCACCCCTGGGGGCAGGGCTGTGAACGGTTAGCTGGGTGGGGGAAACCTGGAAGCTTTCAGATTCGGGTTTTCCCAGATATGCCGACATGACATCCAGGGATGGGATTCAGCCGGTTCGCACCACTTCGGGAGAACCGGTTGTTAACTTTCTAAGCAGTTTGGCAAACTGGCTGTTGGAAGAAATCATTAGGGCAGAGAACCGGTTGTTAAATCACTTGAATCCCACCACTGATGACATCACTAATAAATTGGAACTTTTGAGGAGCCTCAGAGCTTTATTTTGTTGGGGGTGTTCCTTGGAACCCTGACAGGCAAAAGTCATCCAGCTAGCTAAAGTGGGAATAAAACTCACCATCTCTTGCTTTCTAACCCGTTCTCTTAATCACTTCCTTAATTGTCACAAAGGTGCTTTTGCAAAAAGCTCACTGGACTGTTTTTTTTTCTCCCCTTGAGGAAGAAGAAGATGTTTCGCTTCTCATCCAAGAAGCTTCATTAGTTCTGGATGGATGGTGTGGGGGTGGGGGATGAAAGAATAGGTTCTGACAGGATGATGGTGGTTGGAGAATGGAAGGATTGTATTTCTTTGCAGCCATCTGCTTGTTAGCACTCCCTCTGAGAACCGTTGAGGCCGCTTGAGGGTTTAATCTGTGCCCACATTGCACCGATGGATTTATGCCAGTGGTAAAATCCAGGTTTTTTTTTTACTACCAGTTCTGTGGGCGTGGCTTGGTGGGCATGGCAGGGGAAGGATACTGCAAAATCTCCATTCCCCACCCCACTCCAGGGGGAAGGATACTGCAAAATCTCATTCCCCACCCCACTCCAGGGGGAAGGATACTGCAAAATCTCCATTCCCTACCCCACTCCAGGGGGAAAGATATTGCAAAATCACCATTCCCATCCCACTCTGGGGCCAGCCACAGGTGGTATTTGCCGGTTCTCCGAACTGCTCAAAATTTCCGCTACCAGTTCTCCAGAACCTGACAGAACCTGCTGGATTTCACTCCTACATTTGTCTGAAAGGTTTGTGGGAAGAAATATCCATCTGGTTCAGCTCCAAGCCGGGAGAAAGATACTGGAAACATGGAGGCTCATTGGAAAAATGGTTTAATGAGGAAGCAGAGCCCACATGTGATTCTGGGCAGCTGACAAAATGGAGTTGAGAGCGGGGGTGGGTGGGTATTTATACTTTCTCTTGAGCTTTGCACTTGAGCTTCCTGTTCCTGTGCAAGAACATTTATTCTATTGGCTGTTGTCAGACTCTCATGTAGAGGTTATGTAGGAGTCATTAGGAGGAGGGGTGGCTTCCCCCAGGTTTATATGGCTGCCTATTTAAGCAACTCTGGGCTGCTCCTAACAATAACATCAATAAATAAAACAATAATCAAGCAATACAGAACAACAGAGTTGGAAGGGACCTTGGAGGCCTCAGAGTCAGACATGACTGACAGGGAAACCTTTACCATTTTTTAAAATCACTTGATGATATTACCTAGATTGGTAATGAAACGTCTGCAAGAAAACCACCAAGCTCAGAGTGCACCAAGGATCACTCAGAAGATGGATTACTCTTTCCCCATGATGGCAAACCTATGGCATATGTGCCACAGATGGCACGTGGAGCCATATCTGTGGGCACGCGAGCGTTGCCCTAACTCAGCTCCAGCATACACGCGCACACTGGCCAGCTGATTTTTGGGCCTTCCGGACCCACCGGAAGTCGGGAAACGGGCCATTTCCGGGTGGGGAAGGCTGCTTTTGCCCTCCCCAAGCTCCAAAAAAGCCTCTGGAGCCTGGGGAGGGCAAAAAATGGGCCTACCGGCCCACCGTGCCATCATGTGCCAAAAGCAGGGGAAGCGCGGGGGATTGTGTGTGCATGCATGGGGGGCAGGGCATGGGGGGCATTGAGTGTGGGCATGCGTGCGCACGACCCCCCCGTCCTCCCCCTGCTTTTGGCACGCGACAACAAAAAGTTAGCCATCACTGCTCTATCCCATTAATGTCTCTGTTGTACTGACTGTGCCTTCGGGAACGAGGCTTACCTTAATCCTCTCAATGACTTCCCTTGTCAGTTTTCTGTCTTCTACCACATCCGAAGCGTGACTTGGCAAACGGAAACAACTGGATTGCTAAAAAACCTGAAACTTCTTTGACTAATGACATAATGTGATACTGGCTTTGCTTACGAAAGCTTCTCGCCACCACTAACAAGCTTGCTTGTGTTTGTTTGTTTGTTTTAACAAAAAAACCCTCAAGAGTTATTTTTAATTAAGAATGATCAGAGTTGTCATACCAATTATGATTTTGGCTGCCCTAACCCATTTCATGTTAAATCATCACACCTGGTGTTGAAAGGAGGATTCAGAAATGATGAAAAATCTTTCGGTTGTGACTTTTTCTTCTCTTTTTATTTGTAAGCCACTGAGCCATTAAGGAATCAGGAAGTCTGAAAATGGAAATATAGAATAGAATAGAATAGAATAGAATAGAATAGAATAGAATAGAATAGAATAGAATAGAATAGAATAGAATAGAATACCACCACTTCAGACAAATGGTTATCCAATCCAGTGGTGAAATCTAAAATTTGTTACTACCGGTTCTGTGGGTGTGGTTTGGTGGGGGTGGGGCTAATGTGACTGGGTGGGCGTGGCCATTTTTTGTTTTAACTTTTAAAACCATTTTTTTCTACAACCTCTTCGAAGAGGTAGTAAAAAAATGCTTTCAAAAGGCTCTGACGATCCAAGCTGAGTTGCCTGATCGGCAGAGGCTTTTAAAAAAACTCAGCTTGGATCGTCAGAGGCATTTAAAAGAAAAAAAGGGGTTTTTTTTCTTTTAAAAGCCTTTGACGATCCCAGCTAAGCAGCGTGATCATCAGAGGCTTTTTTTTTTTTTACTTTTAAAAGCATTTTTTCGGCCGAAGAGGTTGTAGAAAAAATGCTTTTAAAAGTAAAAAAAAAAAGCCTCTGATGATTGTGCGGCTCAGCTGGGCATGGTAGGGGGGGCAGGGATTTTTGCTACCGGTTCTCCGAACCACCCGCCTCCATCGCTACTGGATCAGGTGATCCGGTCCGAACCGGGAGCATTTCACCCCTGATCCAATCTCTTCTTAAATACTTCCAGTGTTGGAGCATTCAAAACTTCTGGAGGCAAGTTGTTCCACTGATTAATAGTTCTCACTGTCAGGAAATTTATCTAAATTTATACCTAAGTTTGCTGTGCTTCTAATCTATCTATAATAGGAGATGAAAGTAACTTTGGTCCCCCAGATACTGTATATTAATGTATGATAGTGTCTATATATTACATATAGGCAAATATTTCTGGGAATGTCAATATGCTGACCATTAGGCCAGACCAGACCAGACCAGACCAGACCAGACCAGACCAGACCAGACCAGACCAGACCAGACCAGACCAGACCAGAATAACAGAGTCGGAGGGACCTTGGAGGTCTTCTAGTCCAGCCCCCTGCTCAAACAGGAGACCCATATACCATTTCAGACAAGTGGCTGTTCAGTCTCTTCTTAAAAGCCTCCAGTGTTGGAGCATTCACAACTTTTGGACGGAACCCGTTTGACTGATTAGTTGTTCTAACTTCCAGGAAATTTCTCCTCAGTTTTAGGTTGGATCTCTCCTTGATCAGTTTCCATCTGTTGCTTCTTGTCCTGTTAAAATGGACTACTTCTACCATCCATACAAGAAGGATGGACTATTTCTTGATAGGACTCTCTCCTTAAACCGGTGGGGATGTTCAAAAGTGTTGAGCGTATTTGATAAACTCAAGTTATGCCTCCAAAGGCCAGCCCTTAGTTTTACAATCAGAAGAAACAGGGTTTAGTGAATTAATCATACAGCTGTCAACAGTCCGACTAGCGAAAACCCCCTCCCCCCTGAAAAAATAGGCATTCTCAGGAACTTTGTAATCCCAACTGCAAAACTTTATTGGCTACACCATTCCGGTACTGAAGAATCAAAACCAGCTCTGGTTTTTCACGCACAATGCTTGCATGGTTAAACAGTAGCTTCGCCCTTTCCCCACCCATGGATGTTCACACTGTCCAATTATGAATCATCCTTTTGTTTTGAGAACAGTTCACTTCTTTGTCAGACACCTGCAGCAGTGACCTTGGTGGATCCTTGGCTCTCACGGTCTATTCCCTGGAGCAGGGGTGGGTTCTACTTACCTTTACTACCAGTTCGCAAGGGGATCACGCATGCCCATGCACATGCACAGATCACCGATGATGACAGGTTGGTGGTTGGGGCCTCCTGCCAGTTTTACTACCGAACCAGTCCGAACCGAGGACAACCCACCACTGCCCTGGAGCCTCTGCATTCTTTTTCACCCTTCCCTGCCCCCCCCCCAGTTCTTTGTCACATTGAATAATGATAAGACTCAATAAGTTTCAAAAGCGGGTCATTCTTGACAACAGATGTGCTGCAGACTGGAGGACAGTTTCAAAGGTCGTTCCATAAGCTTTGAAGATCGAATTGTGTGTGATTTCATGTGTCTTCCTTCTAGATCCTGCCGCCAAGAGCTTGGAAATGAAGGACACCATGTCTTTGGTTGGCGCTTACTATGGCGGGAAGTCAGTCCTTGTTACAGGAGCCACAGGGTTTATGGGCAAAGTCCTGGTTGAGAAGCTTCTCCGGTCTTGCCACGACGTAAAAACCATCTACGTGTGTGTGCGGCCCAAAGGTGGACGCTCCATGCAAACCCGAGTGGAGAATCTGCTGAAATGCAAGGTAGGAAATTCAAGGGTGGACAGCAACGGGTAGCAGCTGGTAGGGTTTTTGCCATAGGTTCACTGCTGTGGTGGGGAAGCATGTCTGGTCTTAATCCCAGAGAGGCAAATATGGGACTTGTGTATTTTATTTATTAAACGCATTTCTAGCCCATTTTAAACTCTATCTACAATTGCATTGCAGTCTCCTACAACACAAATCTATATATATAAAAGCGAAAACCACTCATGCATTATCACGAAATCTCCAGAACCGTAAAGTCTACACACTTGAAATTTGGCACGTATGTTCCTCTTGGCTTCTAGGTGCTTCTAGGTGCTCGCTAAGAAAGGATTTTTGAAATGACCATCAGATCGTTAGTATTTCATATACAGTATTATATTCACACACTCTGATGCTAAGGAGTTAGGCGTTCTACTCCCCTTTCCCACCTGAAAGGAACTCTGTTCCAACTGCCAGTTGCCTTATATTAACATTCTCTGATGCTACCCCTTTGCTAAACCAGGTATGGGCGTGGCCAGCACGTGACTCATCCGGCCTTTGGGCTGGGACATTCTACTCCCCCCCCCTCTGTTCCAACTGCCAGTTGCCTTATATTAACACACTCTGATGTTATGGCGTTACACATTCTACATTAAGTTTCAGGCTTTAAGTGTCAATTTATCATGCCCGATCACATAGTTTCGTAGCGAAGTACGGGCGTCCAGCTAGTATTTTCATATTCCAGTTCTATAATTTTCTTATGTAGTTTTCCATAAAACTCTTCTTGTTTATTATTAGGTGCATATATCGCTATCAACAACATCTGTTTATGATTCATTGTTACCTCCACCATCGATAGTCTCCCATCTTCATCTACAAAAATTTGTCTAGCCTTTATTGTTTTTTTAATATACAGAGCCACCCCCCCTTGCCTTTTGCTGCGCTAATGAAGAATATAGTTTCCCATTTTTGAGATACTCTAATAATTTACTATATTGACTATATTCAAGATGTGAACCACTTGAAGACAGATCAAATCTCATTTTAATTTTTCTAATTTATTAAAAGTCCTTTTTCTTTTCTTGGTGAGTTCAGTCCATCTATGTTGATTGATAATAGTTTCGTTTCTTCTTCCATTGTTCACTTATAGATAAGTTTTGTTGTTCTAGTTGACCTTATTTCTCTCTGTTCTTTTGGTCTTGTTCCTTCTTGTTCTCTTCTCTCTTTTTATTCTGTTTCAGTTTCTTCTTGGTGTGCACTTCCCTCAACCAACAATGCCTCTTGTTTTTTGCCATCTATTTCCTCTCTCTCTCTCTATCTTTTTTTTTTTTTTTTTGCTTTAATTTATATGCCGCCCTTCTCCGGAGACTCAGGGCGGCTTACAATGCGTTAAGCAATAGCCTTCATACTTTTGTATATTTATACAAAGTCAGCTTATTGCCCCCACAATCTGGGTCCTCATTTCACCTACCTTTGAAAGGATGGAAGGCTGAGTCAACCTTGACCTGGTGAGATTTGAACTTGCAGTAATTGCAAGCAGCAGTTGTTAATAACAGTGCTTTAGTCCACTGTACTACAGGCTCTTTTTTTTTTTTCTTCTTCTTCATGTGCTGCAGAAGAGTCAAGCTATTGTCCAAAGCACCTGAGGGCAGGACAAGAAGCCATGGGTGGAAACAAATCAAGGAGAGAAGCAACTTAGAACTAATGAGAAATTTCCTGACAGTTAGAACAATTAATCACTGGAACAACTTGCCTCCAGAAGTTGTCAATGTTCCAACACTGGAAGTTTTTAAGAAGAGGTTGGATAACCATTTGTCTGAAGTGGTGTAGGGTTTCCTGCCTAAGCAGAGGGTTGGACTAGAAGACCTCCAAGGTCCCTTCCAACTCTATTATTCTAAAATGCTTCTAAAAGGCTGGTAATAGAATTATTTCTAGCCCACCTTAATCAAGTCCACAGTCATAGTGGAAACAAAAAGAGCCTAACTAATTACAATATTGAAAATCACAATTAGGTCAAAATCCCAAGACAAATACTGGTAGTCCTCAACTTACAACAGTTCCTTTAGTGACCATTCAAAGTTACAACGGTACTGAAAAAAGTGAGTTATGACCTTTTTTTCACACTTGCGACCGTTGAGGCATCCCCACGGTCACAGGATCAAAATTCAGGCAGTTAGCAACTGACTCATATTTATGACGGTTGCAATGTCCTGGGGTCAGGTGTTCCTCTTTTGTGACAAGCAGAGTCGACGGGGAAGCCAAATTCACTTAACAAACGTGTTACTAACTTAACAACTGCAGTGATTTCAGTTAACTGTGGTAAGAAAGGTGGCAAAAGGAGGCAAAAGTCACTTAACAAATGTTTCACTTAGCAAGAGAAATTTTGGACTCATTTGTGATTGTACGTTGAGGACTAACTGTAAAGCAATAAAAAGAAAAAGAGAGAGAAGAACAGACTTTGGTCCTTTGTTCTTCTGATTTCCTTTTCTCTTCTGCTCCGCCAAAGCTTTTACTTCTTCTCCATCAGCCAGCAGAAACATTCTCTCCTCCTTTCCTATCTTCTCCTCCTTGATCAACCCAGCTGGAATACATGTATATAGATATAATATATGTATATATGTGTGTATGTGTGTGTGTGTGTGTATATGTATGTATGTATGTAGGTAGGTCTTTGGTTATTCGTGTTTGCTCCCGCGTAAAATTGGAAATGTCTTGGCGACGTTTCGACGAAGTCTCATTCGTCATCTTCAGGCTGGTGTTTTCGGCTTCGTGCTTCTAGGAGCAGCTGCGATCACACATTGCTCCTAGAAGCACGAAGCTGAAAATACCAGCCTGAAGATGACGAATGAGACTTCATCGAAACGTCGCCAAGACATTTCCAATTTTACACGGGAGAAAACCCGAATAACCAAAGACCTACATACAAACACCCGTGAAAACCTCAGAAAACATGTATGTATGTATGTATGTATGTATGTATGTATGTATGTATATATATATATATATATATATATGTGTGTGTGTGTGTGTGTGTGTGTGTGTGTGTGTGTGTGTGTTTATGTAAGTTTATTACTTACATAAGTAATTTATTATAATAATTTATTACTTACATACATACACACAGAGAGAAACATGTTTCTCTCTGTGTGTGTGTGTGTGTATATATATTGCTTTACAGGTAGTCCTCAATGTACGACCACAATTGAGCCCAAACTTTCTCTTGCTAAGTGAAACATTTGTGTGTGTGTGTGTGTGTGTACACACACACCAAAAGTTTGTTGATTCTTGAATAGATCCATATGTAGAAAATCAATGTCCAGTCATTTGCTCTGATCAAAGATGTCTCTCCCGCTCTCGCAGAGAGCTTTATTTTTTATACAGTTTTTACAGGCAGACAAAAAGGCAGGAGAGCAACAGTGTTCTAATTGGTAGAAACTACTCACCCCCCCTCTCAAGATGCCATCCTCTGAAAGCAAGATGAGGTAATGCAGATCAAAGCCAAAATGAGATCATACAAGCATGCAAGATCCACAGCGCATGAGCTAAGGCAGTCTGCTGTTCTCAGCCTGGCACTACGACCTTTGACCTACCTCTACATCCATATTTTTGAAAAGTTTGCTCAGTAGTCATTTTGGCTCTGTCTGGTAGCATTTGATGCCGCCATTAATAATATTTTAAAAATTAATTCCTGGTGTCTATGGAGATTCTCAGTCATCCAGGTCATAAATGTCCCAAGGGTGCGTTTTCAAGAGGCAACTTGCCTCTTGAAAACGCACCTTTGGATTAATTCAACCTTAGGAACCTGGAGCATTTTCCTTCTTCGTTAAGTGAATATTGTCTGTTGCACTCCAGGTGTTCGATAGAGTCCGGGAAGAGTGGCCCAATTTCCATGAGAAGATTAAGCCCATCAGTGCTGAGTTCACCAAGCCAAACCTGGCCATCTCTTCCGAAGACACGGAGGAGCTGCTCTCTGAGGTCAACGTGATCTTCCATTGTGCGGCAACGGTTCGATTCGACGAGCCCCTGAAGTAGGTTCTCCTTGCTGTCTCCTTGGGTTTCTTGCCATCCAGCCCCAATCATATTGTCTTGAAAGGAGATATGACTAAGTGCAGCAAGCAATTCCCAAGAGTTAGGGCTACATCACTTTGAAGGAGACCATGGTGGAGCACAGCCATTATTTTTTTGCATCACAGGTAGTCCTCGATTTATAACCATAACGGAGCCTGGAATTTCTGCGGTAAGTCATGATGGTCATAAGTCAAGGCACCCACTGTTCTGTCCCCAACCCCATGCACACACCCCAACAGACGTTCAGGAGTTAAAGACCAAACCAGCCGGCAAAATCCTTTTCCTTATGATAACAGAACTTGGCAACAACCTAGTGGCTGCCTGCCAAGAGTTTATTACTTACGAAGAAGAGAGATAACTTCTCCCCGCTTCTGATACATCAAAGGAAAGCAGCTCAATAATTACAATCAAGTCCAGAGATAATTCAGTCTTAAAGCAAAAGTCCGGCAATGCAGAATGGCGTGGAAGCTTTCAGCTTTGTTCGTCACAAGGTTTGACTGGCCACCACGCTCCCTTTTATATCCTGTGGGGTGTGGTCCAGTGACTCAGCCTAATCTCGGGCACGTCCTTTCTTCTGTTGCGCACGCTTATCTCTGCGACACTGGCATGGGTCCAGCCAAGACTCATTACCCTCATCACTGTCCACCTGTGGCTGCATGGACTTGCTTGGCCCCGGCCCTATCTCTTGCCCTTCGGCGGACACCGAAGGCATTGCCAGAGAGGAGGGTCCTGGAGAGGGAGGCCTTGCCAACTCCTCCCCTTCACTCTCGGAGTCTTCTCCTGACGATGACACAGGCTCCAGTAACGGAGCCACAACACCCACGTGACTGGGCCTGGTTTTATGACTTTTGCTGTGGTCATGTGACTGTGGATATGTGTGCATTCATTGGGACTCCAGAACCAGGTTGTAAGTAGCATTTGGGAAGTCTGTCATAACTTTGGATGTTCACTAAGAGACTAGTTATAAATCGAGGACTACGTGTAAAAAGGTTAGAAGAGATGCATAAAATTTACTTGCTTGCCTGCCAGAACCGAAGAACCTTGAATAATGAAATATTTCTGTAGCTTATTGGTTTGGTTTAATGAAGGGCGCTATTTCCATCCTAAGTGATGGAGAGTGGTGCAGGAAGCACCTGGGAGGAAAACCAAATTCATTTCCATCCTTTAAAGCTTAAGAATCAAAGTTGTCCAAATTTATGTTGGCAAAATTTGGCAGCGGTGTGGCTCAGTTTTGACAATCTGATTTGAAATTGTTCCAAGCATCTGGATAAGGTTGGAATACTGGAAGTGGAAAACTCCCACTTTCTTTCCAACCTAATTTGTTGATTTTTTTTAAAAAAATATTATTATTCTGTCAAAAATGAGGCAGTTATATTCCTGGGAAATTAGTAGTATTATAATGTGCAATTTGCTGGCACTGTTTGGCTATTGCTGCTTTGCATCAACCCTCAGAACTTTCCCCAAGACATTGTGTTTTTTGTAAAAAAAATAAAATAAAAAAATACAGCAGCATTTTATCTGAAAATTGCTTCGGTCCGATACCCTTTAGAGCAGGGGTCACCAACCTTTCAGACCTCAGGGACCACTAAATTCATAATTTTAAATCCCATGGACCACTAATATGATCTGCCTAATGACCGGCTAGGTGGGTTTGGCTAGGTGGTCATGTGACTGGGTGGGCATGGCCAACTTGATGTCATTCATGTTGAGGGGTGCCTCGATGGCCTTTACTTGCCCCTCCCCTGCCAGCCTGGCCTCCTTAGGGCCCCAACAGGAAGCAGTTGCTGGAGCTAAGCAGCCACCACCAGAAAGAGTTGGCAAAACAGCTCAGTTCAAATTGGATCTGACGGAGACAGAGGTCCAGCAGAAGCACCTCACTGAGCATAGGCTTTCCAAGCAGAGGGAAGACCTGTGGGAGTGCAAGGCCAGGTACTGGTGCCTGCAGGCTCAGCGGGCTGAGATGATCAGCCAGTTCCAGGCCATGATGCAGTCCCACTGGAACAAGGCTCTCTGGCTGTTTGCCAGCAGTGGCACTTCCCTCCAGCCTTTGCCCAAAGCCCTGCACCAGGAGGCCAAAGCAAACCCCAAGTTGGACTTCCTGCCCCCCTCTGACCAGCACAAAAAAGCCCCAAAGGGGGAGACTCTCTGTAGCAACACAAACGTTCATTGCACATATCCAGCCCAGGGGCCGCAGTTTGAGGACCCCTGATTTAGTGCAATAGAAAAAATGCAAATAATTTTTCTGCGGACCACCAAAATTTTCTTGCAGACCACCAGTGGACTACGGATCACTGTAAATGGCCTTAAAAATCAGGGTCCTGTTGTGACCTAGGCTTCCTGAGTCATTAAAACGCACGAGTAGACCCAAAAACCTCTTTTAATGCAACAGCTGTGAATTACGTTCATTCACAGCTGAGTCCCAATTAGTTGCAAAAAGTCCTTTGAGAGAAGTCCTTCAGGATAATCACCAACCTTTATCTCCCTTGACACTCCACCAAAAGACCTACTTGGCAAAGCCACACGGATTCCAGAATCAAACAGAGATGCCGACTGGGAACAGAATTAACAACGTTGCTTTCCTGCAAAGTGCCCACGTTCCTTTGCTCCTCTTTTAAGCCTTATGGGAGGGGCCAATCATCTCCAGGCCTTACTCCCGAGTTGTCCCTTTTGTTTTAACTGTTTGTGCCTTCTGGCAGCTCTGCGCATGCACGCACTAGGAACAGGCTCCCCCGTTCCACTGCCTCTCTGATGCTTGACTCTGTAGGCTCCGGAGTCTGCACATCACTCCCAGATGGCCCTGGCCCCATCTCTGCCTCCGATGCAGAGCCCTTGTCCGAGCCTTCCCCAGACTCCAGGACTGGCCCATGTTCCTCCCCAGCCTCCTCACTATCTGACTCCGTTGCCAGCTCTGCAGGCTGCTGGCAGACCACAACAGGTCCAGGAACTGGGTGGAGTTTGTCTTCACTGTAGGTGATGTTGTTATCTTTATTTGGGGGAGGGGGTTGTTGGTCAACTAATTTGTACCAAGTGACAGTCATTTCCGCTACTAGCAGTGACCTCTCATAAGGTGATGTAGACTACACCTGTGGTCTTCTCCACACTATATGAGATATCTTGCCATCAAGGTGTCCTAAAGCTCCTTAGTCAAGAGAGCCAAGAGGATTGATTTGGACCTGGCATCACACCAGCTGGACCTCAATCCTAGCCTTTTGTGCTTTCTTGAGCAGGGATGCCCTTCTCCTGAATGTCATGGGCACCCAGGAGCTCCTGAGGCTGGCCCACCAGATGAAGAACCTCGAAGCCCTCATCCACGTTTCCACAGCCTATTCAAACTGTAATCGGAGTCACATAGAGGAAGTCTTCTATCCTGTTCCCATCGAACCAAAGAAACTTTTGGAACTGGTAACGTAAGTAATGGAAGCAAACCCTCCTCCTTTGCGATGTATTTGCAAGTATGTTTGAAGGAATACTTGTTGTCTTGTCCTATATACTTTCTTTCCAAGAAAGAAAGAATTGTGGTAGTGAAGTTCCAGAAATGTACAAGATTTATGTAGATACCTCATGTGTGTCAATCACACTTGGCCAATAAAGAAATCTAATCTAATCTAATCTAGTCTAGTCTAGTCTAGTCTAGTCTAGTCTAGTCTAGTCTAGTCTAGTCTAGTCTAGTCTAGTCTAGTCTAATCAGTGGTGGGATTCAGCCAGTTTGCACCTATTCGGGAGAACCAGTTGTTAACTTTCTAAGCAGTTCGGAGAACCAGTTGTTGGAAGAAATCTTATTTTGTTTTTCCCCCACTTTACAGGGCTAATCCTGTAAGGAAGGCAGGAAAGAAGCATTCTGGTGTTGTTTTTAGCCTAATATTTATTGCTCTGCTTACAGAAACTGCCTCTCTGGTTAACTCTTATTACATTGTAACAGCTAAGGTGAAGGGCCCATCACTATGAGTGACGTTGAGTTGGGCATGCCCACACGGTCACATGACCACCGAGCCACGCCTACCCAGCTGGTCATTAGGGCAGAGAACCGGTTGTTAAATTATTTGAATCCCACCACTGAATCTAATCTAATCTAATCTAATCTAATCTAATCTAATCTAATCTAATCTAATCTAATCTAATCTAATCTAATCTAATGTATTGTTACAACATAGAATAGAATTCTTTATTGGTCAAGTGTGATTGGGCACACAAGGAACTTGTCTTGGTGCATATGCTCTCAGTATACATAAAATAAAAGATACATTCATCAAGAATCAAGAGGGAGGGAGGGAAGGAGGAAGGAAGGTATATGAGAAGGTGGAGGAAGATAAGGGAAAAAAGAAGGAGGGAGGGAGGGAGGGAGGGAGGGAGGGAGGGAGGGAGGGAGGGAAGGAAGGAAGGAAGGAAGGAAGGAAGGAAGGAAGGAAGGATTGAGGACTCAGATTGTTGGGGGCAATATGCTAACTCTGTAAACCGCTTAGAGAGTTTGTAAAGCACTGTGAAGCAGTATATAAGTCTTAAGTGCTACTGCTATTGCTATCTTATAAGAAGACCTACTCATGCATATAAAACTTTAACTTTTCCAAGGACAGGCATATGAAAATATGTAAGGACAATGCTTCGAGTTTAATTTTCTCCCATAGATATATTTTATTTTATTTTTAATTTTTTTTTAAAAAAAATATCCTGCTAGGTGGATGGATGAGTCCCTCATTGAAATGATCACCCCCCATTTGATTGGAGACTGGCCTAACACTTACACCTTCTCCAAAGCTCTGACTGAACACCTGATCCAGCAGGAGAAAGGAGACTTAAACATTGCCATCATTCGACCCTCCATCGTGGGAGCTAGTTGGCAGGAGCCCTTCCCGGTAAGTAAGTTTGCTCTTCCGTTGCTAGGTTTACATGCTACTTCTGGCCAAAAAAAAAAAAAAGAAGGTTGATTTATAAATAAGAATGTGCTTCTCATGCTTTTGGCGAAGGAGAAGGAAGCAGGGGTGGGTTCTACTTACCTTTACTACCGGTTTGCAATGGGATCGCGCATGCGCCGATCGCCGATGAGGACATCCGGAGCGGTGGGCGGGGCCTCTCGCCGGTTTTACTACCGGTTCTTGCGAACCAGTCTGAACAGGGGATAACCCACCACTGGAAAGAATCCATCATCAATAACCTTTAAAGCTAATGAGAGTGAACCTGGATTCATGGATGGGATCTATTATGGAATCTTAGGGTCAGGAGGACACATGTGTCCAAAAAGAATGTCAGCAAGGTGGACTTCACTCTCAAGGCTTAATTTTATGAACACAACCATAACTGTTGTGGCCTGTCAGTGGCCTGTGCAACTAGTAGCTGATTCCGACAGCGAGGAGGCTGGTGTGGTGCTGTGCCAGCAGCCTATGCAGCTGGCACTCAAGTCAGACAATGAGGAGGCTGGAGAAGATGTGGTGCCAGAGGCAGAGATTCAGCCAGGGCCTTCAGAACCTCCAGAAGCTCCTATAAGTGAAGAGGAAGAAGAGGAGGAGCCTCTTCTCGATGCATGGGCGCACAGAGCTGCCAAAAGGCAGGAGTGGCTCCTCAGGAGGAGGTCTCCTCGAGAGTAAGGTTTGGGGCTAATTGGCCACTCCCTTAGTTTATTTAAGGAAGAATGACGACTGAGGCAATTTGCAGGGAACAACTTCGTTCACTCTCCTTCGCGTCCTGATCTTAGTTCTCTTATCAGTTTCCTGCAAATTGCTTCTGGGCTTTCTGCCAATCATAGTAAGATTACGATTATTTATTCTTTGGATTCTTGTAGGCTGGTAAGAAAGTTAATTAACAGCCTTTGTTTGAAAAAGACTGATTTAATTTAGTAAAGTAAGGTTTGTACAGACTTTGTGTGTGCTGCGTTCTTTGGGGTCCGTAGCTGGGGCAGAACAATTAACATTGAAAAACAGACAAACAACCCGAAGGGACATGAGTCTAATCTCCATCCAGAAAACACGATGAAATCCCTTGTTTAGAGTCAAGCCCTTCAAATGAATTACAACAGAACATTACTTTATAAAAACTCACATCTGAGGTTATATATTGAGCATCTGGATGTTTTTAAAAAGAGTCTCTAGATCAGGAGTGTGAAACTCAAAGCCTGGGGGCTGGATCCGGCCTGCAAAGTGGTTAGATCTGGCCCGCAGGGCCACCCTGGAACCAGCAAAGGACCAGCCCACAGTGCCTCTGCCAGCAAAAATGGAGCTTGGGAGGGCTGCTTGCGGCCCTCCCGAGCTCCATTTTCACTGGCAGTGGGTTGCAGGAGGCCATCGCAGCAGAAAACGGAGCTCGGGTACAAAGAAGATTAATGTCTGAGATTTTGACCATCTTTCTCTTCTGCTGCAGCTGAGAAACTAGCTTCAGATTTGTGTCTCTTCATCAAAATTCAAGGAGAAATAAAACTGGTAACCTCCATATTAAGTTTACCTGTCGAGTGTCAAAAGCCCCTCGACAACACATCACCTTGTGTTGTGCTGGCACTGGCAGCTCCAGAGGGGCTGAGATTACCACCTTTTCAGGGGTGGGCTGCTGGGGATTCGCAGGGGTTCAGGAGAACCTCTAGCTAAGATTCTGTGCAGTTCAAAGAACCCCCAAATCCCACTTCTGACTGGCCCCGCCCACCCCGCCCCTCCCAGGAGTCCCCATGCTGCCTGTTTTGGATGCAGGTAAGTGCAGGATGCGCATGGAGGCTCATGGAGGCCGAATAAACAAGCCTGCCGGAAGTTCAGGAAGGCCGGAAATGGGCCCATTTCCAGCCTTCAGAGGACTTCCAGAGCCTGGGGAGGCTGTTTTCGCCCTCCCGGAGGCTTGAGAAAAGCCTCTGGAGCCTAGGGAGGGCAAAAAGGTCCCCCCCCACCGCATTGGTGCAGAAGGCTGACTAGGCCACGCCCACCATGGCCATGCCCACCCAGCAACCAGGCAAAGAACCTCTTGCTAAAATTTTTGAAACCCACCCCTGTACCCTTTTACATTCTTTCTTGTTTTCTAGCCCTTAACAAGCATTTAGTATTGTTTGCAACATTTGCTCAATTCATCTGCAAAGAGCAAAATTCTTCAGGAGAGCCTCAATTTTCAGTCCTGAAGGACTGAAATAAGGTGTGGGCAATCTTAATGAATGCATGTTGCAGACTCCTCAACCATCATTTTTTTTCTACGTTTCATTTTTTTTTAGGGCTGGATTGATAACTTCAACGGTACAAGCGGCCTCCTTGTGGCGGTAAGTGAAAAGATGAAAATAGAACGTCTAAATCTTAGGAGCTGTGAAACAGGCCCAGAAGAAACCACGAAGAACCAAAGCATGAAGCTTATCTAAAGAGAGAAGGGCAGAATCTAGTGATTTATTTTTATTTTTATTTATTTATTTATTTGTCAAGCATATATAAGATAACAGGTAAAAGTATAAACGTAATTTGAATACATGAAAAGAGTAAGTAAAAAGGAATATTAGGACAGGGACAGTAGGCACGCTGGTGTACTTATGTACGCCCTTTACAGACCTCTTAAGAATGGGGTGAGGTCAACAGTAGACAGTTTAAGGTTAAAGTTTTGGGGATTTGGGGAAGAAACTACAGAGTCAGCTAGTGCATTCCAGGCATTGACCACTCTATTACTGAAGTCATATTTTCTGCAATTGAGTTTAGAGAGGTTTACCTTGAGTTTGTATCTAATATTTGCTCATGTATTGTTGTGGTTGAAGCTGAAGTAGTCATTGACAGGAAGGACATTGTGGCAGATAATTTTATGTACTATGCTTAGGTCAGACTGAAGTCAGTGTAGTTTTAAATTGTCTAAGCCCAAAATTTGGACTCTGGTGGCATAAGGTATTTTATTGCGGTTAGAGGAATGGAGGACTCTTCTCGTAAAATATCTCTGAATATTCTTGTAAAATATGTCTGATTCTGACAACGCACAGCCTAGCCCAGGGGTGTCAAATTGGATTTCTTCAAGGGCCAGATCAGCATTGTAGCCCCGTTTTTGGCTGGGATGGCCTCATGAAGCAATTTGCTGGCCAAAATGGGGCATCCTCATTTTTGGCCTCCATGGCCTCCTGCAGCACTCTCCCGGCCGTTTTCGGCCAGCAGAGTGCTGCTAGAGGACAGGGAGGTTGAAAACGGGCCATGCGGGGGCCTCACGAGACCTCCATGCGGCCCATTTTGGCTGGCAGAGTGCTGCTGGAGGCTGGGGAGGCTGAAAATGGGCCACATGAGGGCCTCACAAGACCTCTATGTGGCCCATTTTGGCCAGCAAAGGCACCGTGGGCCAGTACTTTGATTTTTCCAGGCCAGCCCCGTGGGCCAGATTTACGCACCCTGCTGGCCAGATCCATCCCGTGGGCCTTGAGTTTGATACCCCTAGCCTAGGCTGATCAAAAAGGAGGTTCACCAGGCCTGGTGTTTCTGAGTGAGTTTTGGCTTTCCTGACAATTATGACAGTTAAAGCATCAGAATGATCACACCGCAACAGTGAAAGGCCAGATTCTGGGGAGAGCAGAGATGGAAAGTGTTGTACAAGTCCCTAAAGTTTTCTTCCCAGTTTAGCTCAGGAGAACTAATCCCATACCATTGTTACATAATTCAAATCTCAGATGACCTAAACTCTATGCCCATGATGGTGAACCTATGGCACACATGCCACAGGTGGCATATGGAGCCATATCTGTGGGCACGTGAGCGCTGCCCTAGCTCAGCTCCAGCATGCATGCGCGCGCTGGCCAGCTGATTTTTGGCCTTCTGGGCCCACCAGAAGTTGGGAAACAGGCTGTTTCCAGCCTCTGGAGGGCCTTCGGAGGTGGTGGGGAAGGCCGTTTTTGCCCTCCCCATGCTCCTAGAAAGCCTCTGGAGCCTGGGGAGGGCAAAAAATGGCCCTTCCAGTACCACCAAAAGTTGAGAAATGGGCCGTTTCTGGTCTCCAAGGGTAGGGTGGGGAAGGCTGTTTTCGCCCTCCCCAGGCTCCAAGAGCCCACTGTGCCATCACGTGCCAAAAGCAGGGGGAGTGCGGAGGGGTTGCACGCGCATGCATGAGGGGGTGCATTGAATTATGGGTGTAGGCACATGTGCACGTGACCTCCATGCGCAACCCCTGCTTTTGGCAGGCGACGGCAAAAAGGTTAGCCATCACTGTTCTATGCTAAATAAGGAAGTCAAGTTATATAGGTTAACTAGCTGGATGCCCTTACTTCGCTACGAAGCTATGTGCTCGGGCTTGATAAATTGACACTTTACAGCCTGAAACTTAATGTAGGATGTATAACTCTGTAGCATCAGAGTGTGTTAATATAATGCAACTGGCAGTTGGAACAGAGGGGGAGTGGGAGTAGAATGTCCCAGCCTGAAGCATCCATCGGTATTCATCTGGCTAGCATCCTGTCAGTGTGTGAGAGTTGAGGGGTGCTTGGAAACTCAAACAGTATTTGCTGTGTGAGCAAGAAGGAGACAGGAAGGAAGCTGGGCGTGGCTTAGCTGAACTGTTCTGTATTAAAGCTGCTTCCTGCTGTGAAAGTAAAACTGAAACTGAAACTGAAAGTCCTCTCCTCTGCTTGTGTTTTGTATTTGGAACAAATTTCTTTTGAGGTGGGGAGGGGAAGTAGAACTGCTTAGCATCCAAGGGCTGTTTGCAAAGTGAAACAGTATTTGCTATGTGAGCAAGAAGGAGACAGGAAGGAGGCTGGGCGTGGCTTAGTTCAACTGTTCTGTATTAAAGCTGCTTCCTGCTGTGAAAGTAAAAACTGAAACTGAAACTCCTCTGCTTGTGTTTTGCATTTGGAACAGATTTCTTTTCAGGTGGGGAGGGGGAGTAGAACTCCTTAGCATCAGAACGTGTTAATAATAATATAGGAAATACTAATGCTCTGATGGTCATTTCGAAAAATCCTTTCTTAGTGAGCACCTAGAAGCCAAGAGGAACATTCGTGGCAAATTTCAACTTTGTAGGCTTTACAGTTCTGGAGATTTCGTGATTAATGCATGAGTGGTTTTCACTTTTATATACAGTATATAGATTAACTTCTTTATTTCTAGGGTGCAAAAGGGATTTTACGGACTATAAAATGTAATGCAGCTGCCGTAGCTGACATTATCCCAGTAGATCTCGCTATCAACTTAACCATCACCGCTGGCTGGTACACTGCAGTTCACAGGTAGGGCCTCTTTGTTGATCAAGAACTAGGCCATTGAAATCAAATGATTTTTTTTCAAGGTTGCAGGTTGTCAGGAGCTACGGAAGTTGCAATTTTACATATCATCATCCAGGTCTTTTAAGCTTTTTGAAAGTCCAACAGTGCCTCCTACAGGCAGTAGTGGATTCACAAGCAATAGCAATAGCACTTAGACTTATACACCGCTTTACAGTGCTTTGCAGCCCTCTCTAAGCGGTGTACAAAGTCAGCATATTCCCCTCCCAACAATCTGGATCCTCATTTTACCCACCTTGGAATGATGGAAGGCTGAGTCAACCTTGAGCCTGATGAGATTTGAACTGCCAAATTGCAGGCAGCCGGCAGTCAGCAGAAGTAGCCTGCAGTACTGCATTCTAACCACTGCGCCACCGTGGCTCATATGTTCCATCACAAGATCCATATGTTGGCTTCTGCCCACTGCCTTGTAAGAGAAGCCAGCACACCTACAGTCTTCATTGTTGGGGTTTCTTCAAGGGTGGGATTCAGAAATTTTAGCAACCGGTTCTTGGCCCGGTTGCTGGGTGGGCGTGGCCATGGTGGGCATGGCCTACTTGGCCTCCTGCACCATGGGGGGGGCGTTTTCACCCTTCCCAGACTCTGGAGGCTTTCCTCGAGCCTCTGGGAGGGCAAAAACAGCCTCCCCTGGACTCCGGAGGCGCTCTGGAGGCTGGAAACGGGCTCAATTTCTGGACTTCTGAAACTTCCTGTCGGCCCATTTTTCACCCTTCCAGAGCCTTCGTGCGGGCCCTGCACTTACCTGGCATCCAAAACTGGCCATGTGGAGACTCCGGGGAGGGGAGGGGTGGGGTGGGCGTGGTCAGCCAGTCCTTGCAAAAACCGGTTCGGTGAACCAGATTAAAATTAACATCTCGTCTCTTTGGAAGAGCTTTATAGCTTCCGCTGCCTTAAGGAAGTTCAAAACATTCTTAAAGATCCATTTCATCTGGGGCACTCTATTTTTGAACTATTACCATCTGGCAGATGGTACAGGATAATAAAAACAAGGACAAATAGGCTGAAAAACAGCTTCTATCCCAGAATAGTAACTATATTGAATTCTATTGAATAGTACAATACTAATGCAATATCAGGAGTTGTTGTGTCCTAGGGTCACTTAGTCATTACAGGACACAATTAGTCTCAGACAAAACTATTTTGTTATAACAGCTGAGAATTACTTCATTCCCAGCTTAGTCCAAATTAATTCCAAAACAAGTCCTTCAGAAAAAGTCCTTTGGGCTTATCACAAACCTTTTTCTTCTTTGGCACCCTGCCAAAGGCCTTTCTTGGCAAAGCCCCACAAAGTTCAGAAACAAGAGACGCCGACTGGAAAACAAATTTAACAATGTCGCTTTCCTACAAAGAGCCCAAGAGCCTTTTCTGCTCTTTTAAGCCTTATGGGAGGGACCAGTCATCTCCTGGCCTTACCCCCAAGTCGTCCTTTTTGCTTTAGCTGCTCTTGCCTTCTGGCAGCTCTGCGCATGCGTGCACTAGGAACAGGCTCTTCCTGTTACTCTGCCTCTCTGCTATCTGACTCTGGAGCAGGGATGGGTTCTACTTACCTTTACCTCCGGTTCGCAACGGGATCGCACGCACGCCTTGCTTCTGTGCATGCGCAGATTGCTGAAGACGACATCTAGGGTGGTGGGCAGGGCCTCCTACTGGCTTTACTACCGGTTCTTGCGAACTGGTCTGAACCGGGGGCAACCCACCACTGCTCTGGAGGCTCTGGAGTCCGCACATCACTCCCAAATGGCCCTGGCCCCATCTCTGCCTCCGATGCAGAGCCCTCGTCCAGGCCTTCCCCTGACTCCAGGACTGCCCCATGTTCCTCCCCAGACTCCTCACTGTCCGACTCCGCTACTAGCTCTGCGGGCTGCTAGCGGACAACAACAGGAGTGTTCAATTCAATTGCATAGAATGCGAAGGATGTATGTTTTTGTTTTATTTATTTTTTTCATGTGTAATGTACACTGAAGATCACATTTAATTTCGTTGTACGAGGTACAATGACAATAAAGTAAACTATTAACTATTAATCAAAAACCTGCCTCCTTTTTAAATGAGTATTGCGATTGCCATAGACAGTATGGTGCAGCTTCAATCCACAGCCTCATCCTGACCTTTCTGATCTGCTTTTCAAACACCTCTCATTTTGTTATAAGTTTGTATGTCTATCCTTCCATTTATATATCTGTATAATAAATATAAATAATATAAAGCTCAGTGTCTAAGATGCTGAGCTTGTTGATCGAAAGGTCGGCAGTTCAACAGTTCGAATCCCTAGTGCCGCGTAACGGGGTGAGCTCCTGTTACTTGTCCCAGCTTCTGCCAACCTAGCAGTTCGAAAGCACGTTAAAAAAATGCAAGTAGAAAAAATAAGGACCACCTTTGGTGGGAAGGAAACAGCGTTCTGTGCGCCTTTGGCGTTTAGTCATGCTGGCCACATGACCATGGAGATGTCTTCGGACCGCGCTGGCTCTTCGGCTTTGAAATGGAGATGAGCACCGCCCCCTAGAGTCAGGAACGACTAGCATATATGTCCGAGGGGAATCTTTACCTTTCTAATAAATATAATATTCATACATTTGGTGCATTTGTGAACTCTTGGCTTTTCTTATTTCTATTCTTTTCAGGCCCAAATCACCACTGATCTACAACTGTACCTCAGGTGGCCTCAACCCATTGTCATGGGGAGAATTGCGTGAGTAATTTTTTTTTAAGGATTAAGGATTCAGAAAATTCCACCAGAGTTTTTGGTTGGGAGTCATCCTTAATGGCTTGCCTTGCCATCGAGATTTCAAGAGCCACCATTCTCATTGTGGATAAGAGAGCACAACGTGGGGTTCTTCACCAGATTCAGTTAATGTAACCTTACAATGAAGTTACAATGTCTGTCTGTGCTTCTTGTGGGGAAATACCTTACTAAGCCAATAACAGCCCAATGATTTATTTTATTGTTTTACTAGCTGGACGCCCATGCTTCGCTATGAAACTATGTGATTGGGCGTGATAAATTGACACTTAAAGCCTGAAATGTAATGTAGAATGTGTAACTCCGTACAGTGTGTAATCAGAGCATGTTAATATAAGGCAACTGGCAGTTGGAACAGAGGGGGAGGAGGAGTAGAATGTCCCAGCCTGCAGGCCAGATGAGTCATGCACTGGCCATCCCTTCACCCAGTTTAGTGAAGGGGTAGCATCAGAGCATGTTAATATAAGGCAACTGGCAGTTGGAACAGAGTTCTTTTCAGGTGGGGAGGGGGAGTAGAATGTCTAGCTCCTTAGCATCAGAGTGTGTTAATATCATAATACTGTATAATAAGAAATACTAATGATCTGATGGTCATTTTGAAAAATCCTTTCTTAGCGAGCACCTAGAAGCCAAGAGGAACATGCGTGCCAAATTTCAAGTTTGTAGGATTTACCGTTTTGGAGATTTCAGGATGAGTGAGTGGTATTTGACTTTTATATATAGATAGATAGATTTTTGAATCTCTAAGGCCACCTTCTTCCTAATAGGAAAGCCATTGACCAAATAGAATAAGGAAGGCAAAGCACGCTTTGTAACATCATAATAACAATAATAATAATTAACAGGACCTGTGGCTGTGGGAAGAGCCGTTTTCTTTCCTGACAGGGAGTTTATTCCTCTTTCTTCAACTCATCTACATCATGTGATTGGAAACCAAATCTGGTTTTTCAATGCTCAAAGGGCACTTTGCCTGCCTAAATGGACATATCCAATAATTGTCCCTTTTTCATGCAATTACCACAGTGGGTGCAGTATCTCTTTTCTACCCTTCTGCAGAAACTAATGCGGTAATTACATATGAAAAAAGTCCCCTGGAGAAACCCTTCAGAATACCAAAGGCCACCTTGACCTCAAGCTACCTCGCCCATCAGTACTGGACGTTTGTCCATCACAGAATCCCTGCTTTTCTCTGTGACCTGTATCTGCGGCTGCTAGGAAAGAAGCCACGGTGAGATTGGATCGACATTGTGGGGTGTAGAGGATAGTTCTAAAAAAAAAGTCCAGATAGCAGTTTTAGGGAAGCACTCATAAGAATACAGAGGACCTTTTTCCAGGGTGGATTATCTTCTCCATCAATTTGACAGCTTTGGGTATGTGTGCTCCTCCCGACAGCTTACAAACAATGGAAATGATTCGCTATTAGTGTGCTCCTGTCGGAGTCTGAATCTGAGACGGGAGACGAACAGCTGAGAGAGAGCGGGAGAGTGGCTCCGTTGGCTGTGGAGGAAACTGGGGAAGGGCAAATTCAGGCTGGACAGAGCAGCGGAGAGTTAGAACAAGGGAGAGGGGCTTCGGATGAAGACCAAAGCCCAGCCCCTCCTCATCCTAGGGCACGCAGGGAAGAACGGAGACGAGAGCAACGTGGGTTGTGTGGCTTACAAGGGAGGAAAGGGCCCCGATCCCCTTCACAAGATACACCTGGAGCTGGAGTTTATAAGGAGAGGCAAATGGGAGGGGCAGTTGTCGGGAACAAACACTGAGTTCATTGTTCGTGTTGACTGCTTTATCTGAGTTCCTGGCATCCCCCCAACTGGTTTAATTTACGGCCGTGCTACTTCAATTCTGGAATTCCTTATCTTGCTTGCCCTGCCAGATTAATTACCTTATCTTGCCCTGTTGAAATTATGGTTGGAAGTTTTGTCTGTTTACGGGTTGGTGGAAGGGCTTTTCTCCAGACCGGAGAGTAACGGGACGTTGGGAGCAAAGTTTGGAGCTAATTTATTTATTTATTTATTTATTATATTTCTATACCTCCTTTCTCCCGTAGGACTCAAGGTGGTGTACAGTCAAGAAAAATATAGATACACAAACATCGTAAAATTGCTAATTAAAATTATTATTATAACATAGTTTGGCCCAATTAAATAGAACCTAAAATTAGATAACATTTTAAAAACATTCACATGTTCATATGTGGCGACCCCCAGGGGGAGGGCCTTCTCTGTGGCAGCTCCCGCCCTCTGGAACGATTTGCCCCCGGAGATAAGAAGGATATCGGATCTCCGGGTCTTTCGCCGTGCCCTGAAAACTCTTCTTTTCCAGCAAGCAGGGCTGGCGTGAACCCCGCCTCCTTTTTTAGTTTTTAATGGTTATTAATTGTTTAGTTTTAATCTGTTAATGGGTTTTAATTCACATTGTTTTAATTCGGGCCAAAGTATATAATTCTTTTAATTAATTTTAAATTTTGTATTGTTATGTATTTTAGTTTTGGCTGTGCACCGCCCTGAGTCCACTAGGAGAAGGGCGGTATATAAATTGAATAAATAATAATAATAATAATATGTTTAGCCCCGCTTGTTGGAACATCAGGGTTTTGAGGGCACGGCGGAAAGCACGGAGATCAGGGATATTTCGTATCTCCGGGGGCAGTTCATTCCAAAGGGTTGGAGCCCTCACAGAGAAGGCCCTCCCCCTGGGAGTCACCAGTCGGCATAATTTGACTGACGGTACCCTGAGTAGTCCCTCCCTGTGAGAACGAACTGGTCAGTGGGAGGCTATTGGTGGCAAAAGACGGTCTCGTAGGTATCCAGGTCCTAAGCCATGGAGCGCTTTAAAGGTGATAACTAACACCTTGAATAAAGGGACTTGTACTTATTCTCTGGCTGTGTTGCCTTTGTGCCAAACCCCGGGCACACACATTGTGTGTGTGTGTGTGTGTGTGTGTGTGTGTGTGTGTGTGTGTATGTGTGTTCCTCCCAACAGCTTATGGAAATGATTCTAATTAAAAATGCAATCAACAAAATTAATCAATAGGAGCCAATAGTGGTTGTGGCAGCCCTTAAGACGCACAACCTCCTTGGTTCCCCAGCATTCCCATCAGAAAGGTGTCTGTAGGTGTCTCTGGGAAAGGCCTTGACGGTAGCCCACCTTAGATATTTGAGGATTGTGGCACCAAGATGCTTTGCAAAGCACCCCTCTGCTCGGTCTTTTTGTGGAGAGATGCTACAATCCTATCTATCTATAGATAGACGTGTTTCTATTTGGTCTTTCAGGATGATGAAGCTTTTCACCCGCTTGGACAAGACTTTGAACCTTCTTGAATATTTTACCAGCAATTCCTGGGACTGGAGCTATGAAAATACAAGCATGTTACTGAAAGAGCTCAATCCGAAAGACAAAACTGTAAGCATCTGACTGAACCACAGGCCCCATCCATCAAAATTAAATAATTAAAATGTGCATTCAGGCTACATTGCAAATGATTTTCAAAAGGACAGATTCCTTCCCCGGAGCCTTATGCAGTGGTGGCATTCAGTCGGTTCGCACCGGTTTAAGCAAACCGGCTGTTAAATTACCTATCCCACCTCCATTGCGCTGCAATGGAGAAACGGGCAATGGTGCGACCGGCGTGAGGGAAAGAGAAGGTCGCATTCCCTCTTTCTTCTCTGTGCTCCTCCTCCTTCCATCATGCTGGCCACTCCATTTCCCGTTTCTCCATTGCAGCGCAGTGCCCAGGATCCACTTTGCCCCCAGATTGTTGGGGGCAACAGGCTGACTCTGTAAACCGCTTAGAGGCCTGTAAAAGCACTGTGAAGCGGTATAGAAGTCTAAGTGCTACCGCTATTGCTATTATTTCCATAGTCCCATATAGTTCTCATCATTTGCACCTCTATAACAGTCTGATTTGGTTCTGCAACCCAACAAGACAGACACAGACTTCAGAGGATAATTAGAACTGCAGAAAAAATAATGGCTACCAACCTGCCTTCCATTGAGGACCTGTATACTGCCCGAGTCAAAAAGAGGGCTGTGAAAATATTTACCGACCCCTCGCATCCTGGACATAAACTGTTTCAACTCCTACCCTCAAAACAACTAGACACAAGAACAGTTTTTTCCCCGAACGCCATCACTCTGCTAAACAAATAATTCCCTCAACACTGTCAAACTAGTTACTAAGTCTGCACTACTATTAATCTTCTCATCATTCCCACCATTCATCTCCTTCCACTTATGACTGTATGACTGTAACCTTGTTACTTCTATCCTTAAAATTTATATTGATATTGTTTCCTGATTGCTTATTTGTACCCTATGAGTATCATTAAGTGTTGTACCTTATGATTCTTGATGAACATATTTTTTCTTTTATGTACACTGAGAGCGTATGCACCAAGACAAATTCCTTGTGTGTCCAATCACGCTTGACCAATAAAAAATTCTATTCTATTCTATTATCCAATCCCAAAATCAACTTTTCATTTCTTTCGGTTTCTTACAAAAAATCCAAAAGTGGTTTCCAAATAGAAATAAAATTTGTCAGTTTTTTCTTTTATTAAGACTGTTAATTTCACCATCTCTATTAATTATTTTTTATTTTATTTTAGATTTTTTTTATTCCACCTTTATTTTTTTTTATAAATAACTCAGAAGTGATCAAACATAATACTCTTTCCTCTTTCTATTTTCCACCAATTTCACCATTCATTCTTCCATCTCTAAATCCTTCCCCCTTTGAAGTCTTGCAGCAATTGTATAATGTATAATAGAATAGAATTAGAAGTTTTATTGGCCAAGTATGATTAGACACACAAGGAATTTGCCTTCGGTGCATAAGCTCTCAGCGCACATAAAAGCTATATGTCAGGATTCCAATGGATGCCCTAATTAAATTAAGTGATAAATCATAGTCATCATAAAAATACATTCGTCATAAATCATAAGTTACTACACTTAGTGATAATCATAAGATAGTAAATAAGCAATCAACATAAATCATACTAGGAAATTAATAAAAACGATATAAATCATAAACATACAAACAATAAAATTATAGTCAGAAGTCGAAAAAGAGATAAGTAATAGGAAAGATGAGAAGACTAATAGTAATACAGCCTTACTAAATAGTTAATAGTTTGACAGTGTTGTGGGAATTAGTTGTTTAGCAGAATGATGGCATTGGAGAAAAACTGTCCTTTTATCTAGTTGTTTTGGTGTGCAGTGCCCTATATTGTCATTTTGAGTATAGAAGTTGAAACAATTTTTATCCAGGATGGGAGGGGTCCAGTGGTGAAATCTAAAATTTGTTATTACCGGTTCTGTGGGCGTGGCTTAGTGGGGGGGAGGGTAATGTGACTGGGTGGGCGTGGCCAATTTTTTTTTTTTTACTTTTAAAACCATTTTTTCTACAATCTCTTCGGCGAAAGAGGTAAAACAAAATGCTTTCAAAAGGCTCTGACGATCCCAGCTGAGTTGCCTGATCGTCAGAGGGTTTTTTAAAAACCCTCTGCGATCAAGCAACTCAGCTGGGATCGTCAGAGCTTGGATCGTCAGAGGCATTTAAAAGAAAAAAAGCCACTCATAGTCGCATGGCTCAGCTGGGCATGGGGGGGCGAGCAGGGATTTTTGCTACCGGTTTTCCGAATCACCCACCTCCATCACTACCGGATCAGGAGATCCGGTCTGAACTGGGAGCATTTCACCCCTGGAGGGGTCTGTAGATATTTTCACAGCCCACTTTTTGACTCCTGCAGTATACAGGTCCTCAATGGAAGGCAGGTTGGTAGCAATTGTTTTTTTTTCCCTGCAATTCTTATTATCCATTGAAGTCTGTGTCTGTCTTGGTTGGTTGCAGAGTCAAACCACACAGATATAGAGGTGCAGATGACAGACTCCATAATTCCTCTGTAGAACTGGATCAGCAGCTCTTTCGGCAGTTTGAGCTTTCTGAGTTGGCACAGAAAGAACATTCTTTGTTGTGCTTTTTTGATGACGTTTTTGATGTTGGGTGTCCATTTTATGTCTCGAGATATTATAGAACCTAGAAACCTGAACGTCTCTACTGTTCTATAAGAATATACTGTTATACTGAATATTTATTTATTATTTATTTATTGGTTCGATTTATATGCTGCCCTTCTCCGGAGACTCAGGGCGACTTACAATGCGTTAAGCAATAGCCTTCATACTTTTGTATATACCTGCTTAGTAGGGCTTTTGGCCCCCCCTAAGCAGTGTTCTTTTTTATACAAAGTCAGCTTATTGCCCCCACAAATCGGATCCTCATTTTACCTACCTCGAGAGGATGGAAGGCTGAGTCAACCTTGAATATACTGTTCTATAAGAATTTACTGTTCTATACTGTTCAAAGTTCTATAACAGTGATGGCTAACCTTTTTGTTGTCACATGTCAAAAGTGGGGGGTCACGTGGGGGGTCGCGCAAGTGTGTGCCCACACCCATAATTCAATGTGCCCCGCCCCCACTACGCATGCGCACATGACTTCCCTGCACTCCCCCCACCTTTGGCACATGATGGCACAGTGGGCCTGGTAGGGCTGTTTTTTGCTTTCCCCAGGCTGCAGAGGCTTTCTTGGAGCCTGGGGAGGGCGAAAACAGCCTTCCCCATCCCCCGGAGGCTCTCCAGAGACCAGAAACAGCCTTTTTCCCGACTTCCAGTGGGCCCGGAAGGCCCGAAAATCAGGTGGCTGGCACGCACATGTGCACTGGAGCTGAACTAGGGCAATGCTCACATATATGGTTCCATGTGCCACCTGTGGCACATGTGCCATAGGTTCACCATCACGTTTCTATAAGATCTTTCTATTTGTTTGCCGATCAAGCCCAGAAGAAAAGCTCAGATTTCAATTAAACATTCACTTTTAAAATCTTCTGCCTCAAAATACATACCTGAGCCCAAAATTTTCTCATTTTGTTGCATGTCTACCAAAGATGAAAAATCTTCACTCAGTTTGATTACATTTCCAACAAATATTTGAAATTCCCTACATTTTTGACAATTTATCTGTTGTTACATACCAATGAAATTTTCAATCCTTTTGCCCACATACCTTTCCATTGATTCAGGTGTATATTATATCTTTTAAAAATGGCCATTTTATCACACAATCATTAACTTGTTTAACTGGTTTCCATTTTCAATAAAAAGTTTCTTTTTTACATTTTAGCAATTCTGCTCTTCATCATCTGTATACAGCTCTACATCCAATTCAGTTTTACCCTTTTCAAATTTATAATTCTTCTTAATCTACTTAAATATTTCTGTTAGCTGAGTTTAAGGAAAAAATCTGTATGTAAAACCTTCCCACTCCAAATTTTGTCTTGTTTTTAAGTTAAACCTTGGGAAAGATTTGGCAAATTAGCATTAAATTAACCATTTTTGTTTAACTATCATTTCCCTTCTTTAAAAAAAGCTTGTTGGGGTGCCAACCATACAGGAATTTTAGGAGACAATTTTGTTGTAATACAAATTTTTACTATGATACATCTAATAAAATGATTTTTGATATCTATATTTCACAGGGGTAAAATCTACTTACCTTCCCTACCGGTTCGGAAGCGTGCGTGCATGACACATGCGATTTTGGATCCTTTGTGCATGCGCAAAGCCTTCTGTGCATGTACAGAGGGTCAAAAACAGGTTACTTCCTGGTTAAAATCAGGAAGTAATGACATCCGGGCGGGTGGGCGGAGCCTCAAGCTGCCATCCCTACTGGTTTGCCGAACCACCCGCCGCTGCCACTACCGGTTCTCCCAAACCGGTGCGAACCGATAGTATTTTACCGCGATATTTCACCTTAACTTTGTCATTCCCCAAATAACCATGCCATCCAAATCTTAAATCGTGTGCTTCCAATTCCAATAAAATCCGAATACTTAAAGTCACCTAGTCTTTAATCCAAACTAAATAGCAAGCTGCAAAGTACAATTTCAAATTTGGTAATTTGAATCCTCTCCTTTTCTTTAGCACCCTGCAGGAGTTTCTGTTTGATTCTAGGTTTCTTGCCTTGCCAAACAAATTTAAAAATATCTCTTTGCCATTGCTTGAATGGTACATCGCTATATCAAAATGGGTATTGTCCAGAAAAAGACATTTTTTATTATGTTGACCATAAACTCAAGAATGGAATAGTCCTTCCCCTCCATTTTAAGTAATCTTCTTTCTGCTTGATTCCAGTTGTTCTGCTTTGACATTTGCCAGTTGACTTGGTCAGAATATATGGAAGATTACTGCTTAGGAACTAAGAAGTATCTGTTGAATGAAGACATGACTAGAATTCCTGCCGCCCGACAGTATATCAGAAAGTAAGACGCATGCAATCTTTTGTGTTAAATTTCACAACCTGAGAGCAGGAGGCTTTCAGTGAATAAAATTGTTTGGTCACCACAAATAAGGATTTCGGCTGAATGCCAAAATATCGTTTGGAGTGATATTTTAGGGTCTTCTTACCTCCAAAGAAAGAGTAGTCCCAGATCAAAGAAGTAGGTAGATCCAGGAAAAGAACGGAATCTGATTGATAGGTATACAAAATTAATGTATCTATATAAAAGTATGCGCAATTAAAACTGCCACAAAGAAGAGGAGGTTTCAAATTGTCTCAAATTGCCCATGGTCTCCTGCTGGAGCATAGGGTTGACTAGAAGATCTCCAAGGTCCCTTCCAGTTCTATTCTGATTGGTTGATTCTGGGGTCAAGCTATTCTCCAAAGCACCTGAGGGTAGAACAAGAAGCAATGGGTGGAAACTAATCAAGGAGAGAAGCAACCTAGAACTAGGGAGAAATTTCCTGACAGTTAGAACAATTAATTAGTGGAACAACTTGCCTCCAGAAGTTGTGAGTGCCCCATCATTGGAAGCTTTCAAGAAGAGACTGGACAGCCAGTCTGAAAGTGTATAGGGTCTCCTGCTTGAGAAGGGGGTTGGATAGATGACCTCCAAGGTCCCTTCCAACCAGAGGTGGGCTTCACATAATTTAACAACCGGTTCGCCCCAGCACCAAAAATGTGTGTGTGTGTGTCTTCTGCGTGTGCGTCAGGGGTGAAATCCTACCAGTTCGCACAGGTTCGGGCGAACCGCTAGGGATTATGGGCATCAGTTTGCCAAACCAGTAGTAATTACCCCTCCTTGGCCCCACCCATGCCCGGCCGGTCACCACTCACCTCTTCCGGCTGCTCGATATTCCACAGAATTCAATGTTAAATGCAGTAGAGAGAATGCTAACTTTTCTCCCTCCATTCAGAACGGAGCTGTCCCTTTTAAGGTAATCCCCAGGAGGGAGGGGGATGGGGGGAGCAGCTGGAATGGAGCCATTTTTGTGGAAGGCAGGAAAATGAGGAAGGGGATTTTCTTGCCTGTCATCCATTCCTCAATCTCAGCACAGACTGAGGGAAGGATGGTAGACAGGAATATTCCCCTCCCCATTTTCCTGTCATTCACGACAAGGAGTGGCTGGGAGGGGAGGGGCCAGTGAGGAGTCCCTTGATGTGAGTGATGTCGAGTTGGCCATGCCCACCCAGTCACATGACCTTCCCCAACAAGCCACACCCACAGAACCAGTAGGGGAATTTTTTTTATTTCACCCCTGGCGTGATTGCGGCCTTCCGTGCACGCGCTTTGCTCGTGCGCACGCTTACAATGCTTGCGCTCGGCTTAAAAAACGCAGGTAATTGGACGGCATAGTGCTGGGGCGAGTGGGCCGGCCTACCTGCAGATCACAACTACCGGTTCTCCCGAACCGGCTGAATCCCACCCCTGCTTCCAACTTTGTTGTTCTTTGTTATTCTAAAAGTAAAGTTAATTCAGTGCTCCTTGGGAGCTGTTCTTCTCTGTATTTAAGCATTTATCATTCTTGTCACTACAAGCACGAAACTTGGAGAAGGTAGCCCAAGACCTGAATAGGAAGACCTAACAATTATAAAGTTTTTTAGGTTAGGTAGTCCAGGACCATATCATGCCTGATCCTTACACAATAACCTAGATCTTGTTGCTCTTCCCAAGAGTTGCAGTCTTAACATTCTGAATGGCTAGTGGTCGGTGGAAACGGATATTGCTGTCTGGAGCCGGATTGCTCAAACCTCCTATCTAACTTGGATAAGTAAACCCCGTAACAGGAATCTTTAAGATGTGGGCCACTGGGTCTTCTGATCATGTCCTCCCTCCTGTTTCCCTAAATGATTGAATGGCAGGGTTCCAAGGGACACCCCCAACGAAATCAAACTCCGAGGCTTGAAGTTCCTCAAAGCTAATTTCCCCCTCCTCATCTTCCCTGAGTCTTTGCGCCCTCTGGTGTCGGGTCAACGCTTGGGGCTCAGGACCCTGGACAGCACCCCGAAACTCAGGGGAGCTGCTTTACTTTAAAAGGGGATTCGGGTTAATGTCAGGGTTCCAAGAAACACCCCCAACGAAATCAAACTCCGAGGCTTGAAGTTCCTCAAAGCTAATTTTTATTAGAGATGTCATATTGGCGCATCTGGGAAAACCCAAATCTGAAAGCTTCCGGGTTTTCCTTACCCAAAAGAAAGTCCAAGTCCTTGCCCTTCACCCACCACAAGAACCAATCAGGTACCCTCCAGAACAGAAGATACCTTCTCATTCTTCTCAGCACAGCTGCAGGGCACAACGGCCTTGACTCTAGAAAAAATTGTATTTTGACTACATATCCTCTTCACTCTATACAATCCCCCCTCCCATTTTCCCACAGTAGAATTCGTGGCAGTCCTGAAGCCTGAAGGCTCAAAGGTAGAAAGATGGCATCCAGGTCTGACACTGGGATCCTATGGATGGAATTATTATTTTAATTTGGCCCAAGATGCCACAGAAGGAAATACTTTTTGATACGATGAGTTCATCTCACTCTACAAATCCCAGCTGGTGGTTGATATGGTATCTATATCAGACACTGATAGTTCAGCTCTTCTTTTTCTCTTTTCTCTCTTTTGACAGGCTAAAGACCATCCAGTGTGTCCTGAAGGCCACTCTGCTCATTATCATCTGGCGGGTGTTCATTGCAAGGTCGCAGATGGCTCGTAATGTCTGGTATTTTGTACTAAGCCTCTGCTACAAGTTTCTTAGCTACATTAGAGCTTCCAGCACCCTTAGACCTTGACTGTGCCTTTCCTGAGATTGTTCCCTACGTCCTGGAATAACCCTCATGTCCTCAAATTGACTCCTAGTTTCTGTCTGCTCCAATAAGACACCTTTCAACTGTTTAAGCATTCACCAGATATCACAAGAGACTTCAATTACTATTACCTCCGCTACTACTATTAAATTATTGCTGCTGCGGTAGGCACTGACTTCCTGTTTCTACACCCATCACATCATCTCTCTGAAGCTGCATTTTTCACTATGACATTTACCAGTTTTGTTTCATCCCAGTGCCCAGCTGAAGCATGAAAATCGGCACCAGATACCTTCTACCCAGAAATACTGAATGGTATCATTTTCATACTGTATATGAATCAATTTGTATTTCATGTACTCCTATACTGCATCAAACCATATGTTTCATTTTTATTGCTTTGATAATACCGATTGCATATCTTCTTTACTCTCAATAACAAATTTTTCAAAAATTATTTCTTAGTGGCCGCCATCTCAATATTCATTTTATAAAGTGAATGGATTATTGGACACATCCAAACTTCAGGATACCCTCCAGCTGTTTGTGCACATGATGTTAGATATCATTCTTATCTCTACCGTGTGAGTTTTCTTGTCATCACTTATAAAACCAACAATTGAAAACTTATTGGTGTCTTATGGTTGATATTTCTATCGTGGCAAACACTGCATTTGCAAGAAGACAACAATATCTGACATTGCAAAATATGGTGGCAAAATACAGCTAGTCCTCGACTTGCAACAGTTCATTTAGTGATCATTCAAAGTTATAACAGCACTGAAAAATGTGACTTATGACTGTTTTTCACAGGTACGACCTTTTCAGCATTCCCACCATCTCATGTTCAATATCTATTAAGGGAAGCTAGAGACAATATCTATTCAATATCTATTAAGTCAACATCCATTAAGGGAAGCTAATTGAGTTGAAGGTGAGTGTGGCTTTAAAATTACAGGAATAAACACAATAATTTGCACTATGCTGATCACGTTACTCTGTTGGCTGAAAAAAGTCTAGAAATAAAAGTCAAGGAGTAGGGAAAAAAGGACTAAAATTAAATATAAAGAATGCCAAATTAATGACAACAAGTAAAGCAACAAGTCTTGAATTGACAATGAAGATGTCATTGTCCTGAGATCCGGACCATCCCTACCCTATTGGCCTTCCGAAAAGTGGTGAAGACCTGGCTTTTCCGGCAGGCCTGGGACCTTTGATCTCGCTATTGCAATCTGGCGAGATCCGGCCATGAATGGTGTGAATGGGTTTTAATTGTTTTTAATGTTTTAATTTTTAATGTTTTTATATATGGTTTTTAAATGCATTGTAAGCCGCCTTGAGTCTTCGGAGAAAGGCGGCATACAAGTTGAATAAATGAATGAATGAATGAATGAATGAATGAATAGTAGAAAGAGAGAAGTTCCCTGAAGATGGGCTCCAGCACGAGTCCAAAAGCTCGGAAGACAAAACCTCTAGTTTTGGGGACCGACCCAGATTGGATCCTGCAACATTATCCTGGGACACATGTATCTGCCTTCATTCATGAATGGTAGAAATTTGCTGTCTTTTAGGCTCAACCATCAAAATTAAAGGGACAAGCAGTCAAGAAATATGCTACAGACTGAGACTTGATAGAGCAGTCATGAAGTAGTTTTGGAAAAGACAATCAAATATCAGGACGTGTCTATTCCTGCCATGATCAGAACTGTGAAAGCCATCGTATGTATACTCTGTGACACTCTCTGTGAGAGCCAAAGTTGGACATCGAAGCCAGGTGGGTGACCCTTGGCCCAGTCAGTCACTTACAGCCCAACCCACCTCACCGGTTATGGGAAAATAGGAATAGAATACTGTAGAATGGAATGGAATGAAAGTAGGAGTAGGAGTAGGAGTAGGGTAGGATACAGTAGAGTAGAGTAAAGGAAAGTAGAGTAGAGTAGAGCAGAGCAGAGTAGAGTAGAATAAAACTTTATTGCCATTTTAAATGTACACTAATCAGCATACATTAAAAAGAATATGCATATATATATATATATATATATATATATATATATATATATATATATATATATATATATATATATGCATATTCTTTCTAGCCAGGTTTTACCTACTTCTACAGCCCTAGGTCTGTGAAATCTCATTCAGGTCTTCTCCACGTAAAATTGGAAGTGTCTTGGCGACGTTTCGACGAAGTCTCATTCGTCATCTTCAGGCTGGTGTTCTCGGCTTCGTATTCCAGGAGCACCTGGAAGCACACACACACACACATATATATATATATATATGCAAAAAATTAAAATCTCAGGTGTTTTCCTACGTCATGTTAAATAAGTTAATTAAAATGTTTAAAAATCTGGTTAAAATCCTAGTTTAAAATTTTCTAAAAATCCTTACAGAGCACTCTGCAAGGTCCTTTAAAACCTTAGCTAAAATCCTACCAGAACCTTTAAAAGTTTTTCTTTATAGCAACGTTTCGACAGGCTCACAACCCTGTCATCTCAGGCTCTTATCTAGTTTAGAAGTTTAGTTAAGAGCCTGAAGATGACAGGGTTGTGAGCCACACCCATAATACTATGTGCCCCACCCTGCGCATGCGTGCATAACAGCCCCTCCCTCCCCGCTCTTGGCACACGATGGCCCATTAGGACCGTTTTTCTTTCTCACCTGGCTCCAGATCCTCTCTATGCATCTGGGGAGGGTGAAAACTGCCTTCCCCACCCCCTTCGAGGCCCTCCGGAATCCTGAAACCTGTGGCACGCGTGCCATAGATTCACCATCACGGGCTTAGGTCATGAGAAGCGTAAAAATGGAGTTACTTAGGCTATGTTCTTTACAGGAATAATTCTATTTCTCACAATCCAGAAATCTCCAAGACGATTGCAACATTTTTAATCAGTAGCTCTCACTTATAGAAGTCTTTAGGGTGTCTTTACAAAATCAGGTCTGTTTTGTAACTTTTTAATTTTATCATCCACTTATATACACCCATAGAGAGAGACATATACAGTATGTTGCCACATTTGATATATTTTTATGAAAGGTCTCAAAACTGTAAACAAACTGAAGTGACCTTGTTATTGCTTTTAGTGTATTGTGTTTTTGAGACTATGACTGCACTCATTCCCTAAAAGACACATCACAGTTTTGGTCACCATGATGTAAAAAAGATTTGGAGACCCTAGAAAGAGTGCAGAGAAGAGCAACAAAGATGATGAGGGGACTGGAGGCTAAAACATATGAAGAACGGTTGTAGGAACTGGGTATGTCTAGTTTGATGAAAAGAAGGACTAGGGGAGACATGATAACAATGTCCCAATATTGAGGGGCTGCCACAAAGAAGAAGGAGTCAAACTATTCTCCAAAGCACCTGAGGGCAGGACAAGAAGCAATGGGTGGAAACCAATCAAGGAGAGAAGCAACCTAGAACTAAGGAGAAATTTCCTGACAGTGAGAACAATTAACCAGTGGAACGACTTGCCTCCAGAAGTTGTGAATGCTCCAACACTGGAAGTTTTGAAGAAGAGATTGGATAACCATTTGTCTGAAGTGGTGAAGGGTTTCCTGCCTAAGCAGGGGGTTGGACTAGAAGATCTCCAGGATCCCTTCCAACTCTGTTATTCTATTCTATTCTATTCTATTCTATTCTATTCTATTCTATTCTATTCTATTCTATTCTATTCTATTCTGTATTCTATTCTTGTCACATACTCATCATGTAAAATCACAAGATTCCTTTGACCTACAAACAGCCCTTGTTAGGATGATGGAGATCTGAAGATCCTTTAGAATGTAACCTTCGAGAAAATAACTGATGAAAGCTTGTGCCACAATTAATTAGCTTACTAAAACAGCTTTATTTGTCTTCTACATTTTGAAATGTCAAAGACTGTGTAATCAAGATTAATAGCTCCCATGATGTTCTTGTCCTGGCCACGCCTATTATATAAATGAGGATTTAGAAATTGAACTGTCTTTCAGTCTTGCAAGGTATACAGTAATACTATAAGCTTAAGAAGATCCACTTATATCTAGTAAGTAATGGTTGTTGCTGGTTTTTTTTAAAAATAGTTATTGAGTTAATCTTCTCTCGTTTTTTCTTTTTCTTTAACACTACTACTACTACTAAAACTACTAGTAGTAGTTTTACTACTTCTACTACTAAAACTATGTGGGGGGGCGGGGGGGCGGAGGAAATCAGGAGTCAAATTAACTAAACAAGAGAATAAATCTATTTGTCAATAATACTGTTTCAATTATTGCCAAACCCAAAGGCTCTTTCATCCTGTTAATGATATGTGTACAATAGATGGGTTGTGTTTCAAATTATCAGATGAATTCAAACACACACACACACAAACACACACACACACACACACACACACACACACACACACACACTGATGTAGAATTTGGCAGAGGGAGAGAAAAACAAGGTGTGTACCAAGGGCGGTGTACGCAGATTAAAAGGCAAAACCCAAGGCACAAATCCTGGCATCTGAAGATCAAGTAACTACCACATTCATAGAAAATTAGGTCAACAGAGCCTTGATAGTACAGGGGTTTAGTGCACCCTGTAATTAACACAGCTGCCTGCAATTTCTGCTGGTTCGAATCTCTCCAAGGCTCAAGGTTGACTCAGCCTTCCATCCTTTCTAAGGGAGGTGAAATGAGGACCCAGTTTGTGGGGGCAATAAGCTGACTTTGTATAAAACATACAAAAGAATGAAGGCTATTGCTTAACGCATTGTAAGCCGCCCTGAGTCTCCGGAGAAGGGCGGCATATAAATCAAATTAAAAAAAAAAACAAACAGTGGCAGAGGCCATTTGTTCTGATCCGGTTCCGAAACGTGAAAAACCCTCTGTGGCTCTCTGTACATCTCCACCCCGGACCACCCCAATGATGCCCTTGAAGTGATGTCCCAGTGCCTGGAGGCCGTGCGGATCTGGATGGGGAGAAACAGACTCAGGCTCAACCCACCCAAGACCGAGTGGCTGTGGTTTCCAACATCCCGATATAGTCAGTTGGTGCCATCACTGACTATTGGGGGCGAGTCGTTGGACCCCACGGAGAGGGCTCGCAACTTGGGGGTCCTCCTGGACTCACAGCTATCTTTAGAAGAGCATTTGACAGCTGTGGCCGGGAGGGCATTTTTATCAGGTTCGCCTGATTCGCCAGTTGCGTCCCTTTCTGGATCGGGACTTGTTAAATATGGTCACTCATGCCCTCGTCACTTCCCGCCTGGACTACTGCAATGCTCTCTACATGGGGCTCCCCTTGAGGAGCACCCGGAGGCTCCAGCTGGTGCAGAATGCAGCCGCGCGGGTGGTTATGGGAGCGACGTGGCGCTCCCATGTGACCTCCCTCCTGCGCGAGCTGCACTGGCTCCCGGTGGTCTTCCGGGTGCACTTCAAGGTTTTGGTTACCATCTTTAGAGCGCTCCATGGCTTAGGACTGGGGTAACTACGAGACCGCCTTCTGCCACCAGTAGCCTCTCACTGACCAGTACGCTCCCATAGAGAGGGGCTTCTTAGGGTGCCGTCGGTCAAACAGTGTCGACTGGCAGCCCCCACGGGGAGAGCCTTCTCTGTGGGGGCACCCACCATCAACAAACTTCCCCTGGAGATAC